CAGTGAAGCATTTTTTATTAAAACGTCCAAAATATTATCTCACATACAACACAAATCACTGAAGGACTCAGTAACTCGGGCTCTCTATTGGTACTGGTTAACTGTTTACACTGCATAAAAGAAAATTCTGATATACCCTCAAACTGGAGGGAAAGAAAAGCCATTTATTAAGCATGACACCTTAGATAAGTATTTGTCATGCCATCACCTCCACAGGAGTAGTACAAAAATTAAAATGGTTATTTTCTCCCCCCCAAATACCAAACAAGGATAATATTAATATCCTTGGTATGAATAAGTTATTTCCTGGTCAACCATGTTCCTCTCATCCCTCTGGTTTCAATCTGTTAAGGCTGGCAGAACTCCTGCAGCTCCCTTAATTCTCGAGGCACATATCAGGTTATCCTAGAATATGGGCCTAAACAGGCCTGATAGATCAGATATGGAATACATTTCCTCAGCGGAACAGAGAACTATTACCGGAGAACGCACGCGCTCTCTACGTTCCCAGTTTAAGCGATTTGAGGACTTCATACTGCCAACGTTTCATCTCCTCTCCTCCTAACTGGAAACTTTTATCTGCATAACCAGCATCTGTGAAGATTGAACTCTTAGGCAAGACAATGACAGGCTCTCTTGGCCGTTGTCACTTCTTATTCCAGCACTGGTCTCATGCCTCTTACTGGGCTTCTGCCAATAACATACCCCCCCCCCCTCCTTGTCCCCTCACCATCAAACAACCAGAGTCTACCTAGCGTGGATAGAAAAGGAGCACTTGATGTCTGTGACACTCATTTGTCAATTAGCGGGCCCCATCCTGTGTTGACACACAGCAACTTGAAAGACGGAGAGGTGCCTGTGACGTATTGAGAGAGACAGATGAGTGAGGCGTGAGCGGCCGAGTAACGCTATAATGTTCTTTAGATATGAATATAAAATGACACAGCTGACAGGCCATACAAGGTTTTATTTCATTTCTCAGTGTACCAGGCCTCCCTACTTTGTCTTCTTTGTTCTCTTTTCATCAGACTACTTACATCTCATTTCGACAGCCGGGCGACATTTAGAGCACTTTCGTTTTAAAGCGCGAGTTAGCATACTTGATTTGTCATTAAAATGCAAAACGCCTGCCATCGACAACATAGCCTGGGTGAGCACATACCACCTCACACACACACATACACACACACATGCACAGGTAGCTTAGTGCAGTATGGACCTGCCTTTGTCAATGGCGGGCTGAATTTGAACTTAAAAGTCTAATGCCAGGAGGTTCATCTGTTCGCCTTAAGTCTTCTACGTGTGAATTCATTAAATATCTCTTTGGCCGGAAATTAAGGGCAGCTGCCTTCCTCCAATTGTCAACTCAACCAAAACCTGGCCATGTTTGAAATAATAGGAATACGTTTAGATGTGCTACTTGTGTGGCAGTGGGTGAAAAAACAGCAAAGCATGAGGGACTGAAATGCAAGCTAATTAAAGCTCGCCCTTAAAAGCATTATTCATGTGTTAAATTTGTCCGGCCTGACAGCAGGTCAGCCGCTGCATGAGGAGGCTTCCTGTGATGGAGGAGAGAGTCAAGTACCAGTGCTACGGGTTAAGTGGTTTCACTGTTAACTGCTGACTTTCCTCTCAATGCATCAGCGGTTGCTATAAAATTTTAGATTACACTTATGTCATCTGTTTTTTGAGTCTTAACCTCGTGTGAAACTTTGATACCATTAAGAATGTTTCAATGACATTTTACACAAACCAGTTTCTGGTCAAATAACAATTCCAGTCCACCAAACCTCCTGCTCAGTGTAGGTGTGCACATAAGTGAGTATTTCTCCAATTTTTGACACATTGAAGAGAATATCGACGGTGCTTTTATCAAAAAGTAATTAAATTCAACACAAACACAATGAGTTGAACCAACACAGTTCTTAGAAAAACTGATGCTTGTGTACGTTTTAAGCACTTCACTCTAATACGGTTCTGTTTGTTGTTTAACAGATGGGATCAACTGGAATGACTACAATTACAATCAACTATAGCAAATATTTGACCGTTGTTTCAAATATTTCAAATGCAACCTAACATTACATGCGCTGTAATCGGTGCCACATGTGTTGAGAGGAAAAAGTCAAATAGACTTAAGCTGTCACTAAAGCTGAAATTATAATTTGTTTATCAAGGTGCCATATCAGATCCGAGAAAAAAGGATGTGCCTGTTCTGACAATGTTGGGATTCATCAAGCGACTCGCAGACAACAGCCCTCCTCAAACCTCATGTGTCCAGGGCTTTAACACCGCATGCACACCGCGTGCACACCGCGTGCACCCGGAGCGCACCTCCAGCCAGAGAAAGGAACCACGTCAAGACAGCACGTGCCCACTCAGTGCATTGTGTACACACCTGACCTGGAACAAAGTGGACGACACAATGCAATCCGAGACAGAAGTCTCACCGTGAGCCACACTTCTCAACACATTGATGAGACAGGGTGACACGGCAGCACACGGGTGGGGGGGGTGTGAGTGTGACAGGCCGCTACCATCATTTCACCCTGCCATTACCTCACAGTTATGCTCACGGAGAGACAGTTGCACCAACACGGCACGCAAGCAAACACACACAAGCACACACAAGCATATGTGCAACAGACAAAAAGACGTGCAGGGGCGCAGTTAAAAGGTGATGCCGGTACATTCTTCCCCTCGTTGTGAAGCATTGTCAGGTTGCTGGATGAGCGTTGTCAATTGAGCCGACAGAAACGCAACCAACTCTGGCAATCGCTCTCTCTCGATCGGATTCAGGCCGCACGAAGATGTGCACGGTGCTAAAGGCAGTCCACATCTGTTTGCACCCGGTTTGCTTGAGCGGAACCTGAAAAGGAGGTCACGGTGTCGATACATGAAACGTCCATCCCAGCTTCCATGAACTGGTCGCCAGCCAGGATTTGATTTGGTCTTCCCCACAAAACTAGGACTGGTAATTCAACACATATTTGAATGTACTCACATTGTGATGAAATCATACATAGAGATATTTTGAAACATAATTCTGAATTGATAATGACAAGCATGTTCTTACTCACAAAATTGAATTATTTTGCTGTGAAGTTCTCTATTAAATGAGGCGTTTATTTACTGAATTGCAAGAAAACACGCTGTATCCTATATAGAAAATGAATGACATCTCGATTGAATATTTTGGCCATATCGCCCAGCCCTACTCCACACTCACAGGTAAGTTCAGCACCCTCTTTTCTTCAAAAGACATTTTTGCCATTGAGCTGTAGGTCATGTGACTCATACAGAGACCAATGGCAAACGAGAGCTAATTTTAGAGAGAATAGTGGACACGTAGGTGTGTGATGCGAGTGTGTATGAGGGTCGCAGGTTTTGCATATCCACAGGACAGTAATGTATACCGGTACTACATAGCTATGGATAAAGACACAGTGTTCATATTTTTGATATAGAATTGATTGAATGAGATCAGCAACAAAAAAAAGGATCACCATGTATCAGATCATTTTGCCTACAAGCAAAAAAATAAACAGTCAACAGTCTATTGACATGAGCCCCGAATGGTTTGTGCACCACTTCCTTGCTTCTCAGACACATCTCTGCCAATACCGGCCTTTGAAGTTTAGTAACGATAGCTGACATCTGAGATTAGCCAAACGGAAAATGAATAATGAATCAGTAGTATCAGAGTTATAAATATTTAATTCTTAACATCAAGTCCTTAATTTGACGGGTTCAAAGGCGAGGAAGATAATGCCACCCTTGATCTCCCTGAAAGCAACACACATAAGGTTTGTTTCAGTCAGATTTCATGAAGCACGTAAAACATCAACTTCAGGTGATGCTAATACATCTTCTAGTTGACTTTTCCACAATTCTGCCCATCAGCGTTTGTGATAGTTGCGCCTGAAGACTTGTACCACTACTAAAAAAATTTGAAAAATGCTTTAATAACACTGCAATCAGGTACATAATAACTATATATGATTCAAATATAAGTCACAAAAGTACTTTTACAAACTTTTTTTTTAAACTTCACCATTGACCACATGTTTGTGGTGCCACACACATGACAAAGGTGGTAAAGACCAAAATGGTGTAAATACAATAAATATACCAGCTCTAAGGGAGACTTATAGGGTTTAAAAACAACATTTATTTATACTACCTGTGCAGTGAAAGCATGTCTGTTACGACATATATTCCCACGACTCAACATCCTACAGATCGCTGTACTGTCAAACTCAACAATCATGTCATTCACCTCATTCAAGCTGAACTGTGTGAACACTTGAATCAGTAGGTCCACCTTTCCTGGTACTGATGCAGTGTTGCTCTTTTCTAGCATCTGTTTCACAGTCACACAGCTACACACATCCACAGTGCCTTGCTCAAGTGCACTTCAACAGTTGGTGAATTTATTCACTCATTCATTCATTCATTTACCCCCAAGCAATGTTCTCCAGCTTGTTTTAACGGTGTGTACACGAGAGGGGTTTTGCCGGACACAACCTAAATGTAGAACTCCATATTTGCAGCCTTGCTTGAAGACGTATCAAAAGAAAGAAGAAGGTTCCTTCATTGAGACGCCTTCACGGACTGACAGTCGTGAAACTAAAGCACCGTATAACCATCATCTCCTTTCTTTTACTTGCCAGATCAACTGTGCTCGTCCTGCTGTTGAAATGGCAGCCCCCTCTGGAGCAGCTGCCATGAGCTGCTCCTTTAAGTCCTGACAGAGGAATCTTCTCTTACACCCCCCCCCAAATTAGCATGTCACATTTATTGATCACGCCTTTTATCCTCTAACAGCGAGTCACCAAGCCCGGCTCTGGCATATATTCACCCGTTTGATGCTATGATGACACTCTGACCACCTATAGACTAAGGGCACACATTCAATTGCACCTGATGTGGGGAGGAGGGAGAGAGAGAGAACGTGCTTTCAAGTGAGTAGGTTTTTCGCTTTTGTATCGATCATCTACCTGAGCAGATTAAAGCTGAGATCCAGCCTTCTTGCAAAATGGCCATATGTGTCTCCGAGGAACTCTGGGATGTCCGTGCCGTCATGTCCGATGTAGGAAATCTTTAAGAATAAAAAAGGAAAACAGAAAGATACTCGTGAGATTAGTAATAATAAGAGCACCCTTGAACAAAGCAAAATAATATTGTGTCAGGACTGGGATCATCATTTGAACTGATTTTGATGCAATGTTGATTATGAGATTACATTTCATCATCACGAAATTTGATATCTTATATTTATATATAACTTTGTACAGCACCAGTTAACACATCCGTGTGTTACTAGAACCAAGCTCACCACTTTAACATACTTATATACAATACAACAATACAACTTCAACAGTTTAAAAGAAACATAGGACCACGTGCTTGCAATAAAACGTGTGACGTTGTGCAGCTTTCTCCCCTCAGTGACGTTGTGGGCGGGACTACGAGTCCCCGCTGTAACGCGGGCCACACCGCGTCACATGACACCCCGGCGATGTGGAAGAAATAAACAACTTCAGCCACTTTTCACCGGCAAACTCCACTCACCGAATATGTATATGTCTACATACACATTTAAAAATGTAACTGGGGCGCAGCGGGAAGCTGGCCGCGCTGCGACACCAAACGTGCCCAAAGCAAACTTACTTGAGTCCCATTCAGAGCGACCAGCGACTCGTTACGTGCCATGACTTCCTCCACGCGACGACACCTCTCAGACACGCAGTTTGAGAAGAGTCCCACGGCCCAGCTCGCGTTAGAAACAGTACAAAAAGTAATAATAATAAAAAAAGAAAAAGTTAAGAGTTTGAGGATGTAGCCCTGCTGCTGCTATGCGAGCGACTCCACAGCTTCCGCGTGCCCGTTTCAATCAGCTGACCCGCTGTTGTGGCGGAAGCACGAGTGTTGCACGGGTGTCCCCGGTGAAAGAACAGCAGCGGGTTTAGCCTTAACTCGTGCTCTTAATTAACGCATACACTTTGCGTGCATAAACAACGAGATGGGAAGAAAGTGATGAATTAGACAGTGTGGGCTGTAACTGGTCACACCTGTTGAAATGGAACAGGCGTAATACACTTGTTTATGAAGGACAAGGAATGTTGGAGATACCTTGCATTTCATCTCAACTGGTGATCCAAATCAAGTCGTTCTACCTGCCTTCAATGCCTCCTAACGTTTGCATGATCCGCTAGCGCACTATAGCTCAGTCTTGAGAGCGGCTCTTTATTGTGGATTTACCTGAGAGATACCTCGACAAGGTCATCTGTTAATCCCCATTTTTTTTAAAGAAATGTGCATGGTAAACATAAAACAGACAGCTTGGTAATACTTTGACTTTGGCATTGACCTTCCTTTTGCGTGGTGCCATGATGGCCATCATGCATGAGTCAGCTTCTGGAAACCACGTCTATCGTTCATTCAACAGTTCGGTTTCTCACTTTTCTTTGTGTTGGTTAACTTGTTATGTAGATAGTTTTATTCATAATTGTCATGTTTGTCCTTTCTGTATTACATTTCCCCACGCACACGTGCCAGAAATGTACAAATACACTTGTGCAGATACAGACTGAGTCCACATATACTGGGAAAATGAGCATACACCACTGACAACGTGCACATGCACATTGACAATGTCCATACCTGCACACAATGTGCACACGCAATTAACAATGGGAAATATGGCCCAGTGTAGGGGTGAGAGAGAAGAAGGGGTGGGAGGACCGGAGTTTGTGCGTGTCAAATCATTTCAGTGCTGCACAGGGGTTGTTGTGTAACAGGAAGGCTGTGAAAAGAAGACCTTCCTGTTGTGATGAAATCCCTTCTTTACACTTTTTTCAAAACTTTATTAATAACTATTAAGATACAGTTTATGGTCAAATATATGCATTTGCAATAACAAAATGAACAGATTCAAAAAACAGCAGGGCCTTTTTACAATAAAATTGATGCATCGATAAATAATAATAGAACAATAGGACATAAGCAGAATACGTAAACTTGACAATGAAATAAGTAAACATTCAGTATTCAGATCTTCCACGACTACAACCAGGGGCAGTCAGAGCAATTAGTACATGATCAATTAATTCAAGAGACACCAGAGAAAGAGAGAATGGTCACAACCCAATAGCATTGAAATAGTTGACAAATTTCATTTTCTATTGTCCCAAACTAAGAGTGGATCCGTTTGATCTGTCTGAAGGGTACACTATTGTAAGACTATTACAATTGTAAGAAGGGGCGCTCTGTTCAGACTTTGTGAGTTCATGCTACTTCCACCCTAGAAATGCCATCTGTGTGGAGGAATATATGGTCTCTTTCGTTTCAGTTCTAAAACTACACATTTCCAAATGATTTTGACAGTATGTTTGTGATGCCTGTGTACATGTTGTCTGTATATTGTGTTTGGCTGCACCATGACTGTGCAACTTGCCCAATAAACAAATCTGATTCCGATTGATTTTGGCCGAGACCATATCCGTCGTATCTGGAAGCCGGATTCAGATCCTGTTCAGTGACTGATGCAAACCAGTGTGCATGCAGCCATAGTTTGGAAATACAATATTTCAACTTGAATTGTCCACAAGAGGTTAATTGAATTGAATATAAAGGGAAATCACCTATAGAAATACACTGAAGAACACAGCTGCCTCACACACGGGAAGACATTTGGACACCATTGGCTAGTCTACTCTTAGCCGATGAGGTGCATAATGTCTCTGTCTTTAATATTGCATAGGTTGATGGCTACTGTAGTTACATGTTGTGTGTGTGTGTGTGTCTCCAATTACTATATATATATTCATTCATAATGGACTCTTAATGTGACTTACATTTGAACACAGTATCATTCTTGTTTATGGTATTGCTGGCCCACTTTGTAATAATGAATACTGACACAGCTTGTGTTAGTATAAACTGGGTTAGTTCATCTCCTTCTACTCACAAAACATCATTACACGTGATTATTTTAATAAAAACAAACCTTCACAACTGCAAATCCAAAACTTGTGTAGTTTTGCAGTTCAACCAATATGATATCTGAAGACAATAGTTTAGTGTAAACTCTTTGTTTAAAGGATATATAACAGATTGTATAATCCTATTAATATTAATCTATGCCATAACGTAATGTGATGAAGTGAATTAAAACTTTTAGTCCATTTGAAATACTAGGTTCAGACCTTAATCACTAAACTATCTTTAGTATTAGAGGATGTCTTAATGCATTACAGCAAAACACTGAAGCAGAGCTCACCTCACTGCTACGTGTTTCCTTGGAGGTGTATGTTGGGGGGGGGGGGGGGGAGTAAGGTCGCACTTGGTTCAGAGAAACAGGAAGTTTGGGATCACCGCGCTGTTCCTCTGCTTCGCTCCGTGTTCGGTGACGTCACGCGGGACCTCCCACACGCGGAAAAAAAAAAGCTCTCTTTTCCCGCGCTGCGTGCCCCAAGAGAGAGCGCGAGAGCCCGCATGGCGTCAGTCTCCACCGTGCCCCCTTTGCCGTGCTCCACGGTTTACAGAATGTACTGGCCGGGTGTGTTTGTTGTCATGCAAAACAGAAGGACTACGTCTTATGTTCTGGGTGTGTTTAATTTTTTTTATTTTTTTTTCCATCCTCGTCCTCTCTGACGCTTTACATCGGAGCTTAGTATGATTCCAGGTAATGTCACGTTACGGGACTTTCCCCGCAAACCTGTGCTTCTTTCCGTGGAGTTTTAGAGAAATCTTTTGGAATTCGTGCATGTGCTTTCTTGTAGGTTGTAACACTCTCCTGTGCATATGTGCCACGTTTCATCCGTTACTGCGTCTTTTTTTTTTAATTGTTTCATGGCTGGAAGATCGCCACAAAATAATTAATGTTAATTGAACGAAAGCTTAAATAGAATAAGAATAACTTTATGTTATGCGATCCAACAGTCGAAGCCCAATAAAAATGTGACCACTTTGTAAATGATACATTTAGCTCAGGTGAGATGCAGGTGCTCTTAGGAAAGTGGGTTAATTTTATCATTTAATTTGTATCATGTGTATTTACATTGAAATACGTTGCTTCATAGCAACAAGTTTACAGTAAACCCTAAAATCCAACACACTCCTTCACGAGATGTAAATCTTTCATTTGCATGCAAAGAGTGATTCATAAGCATGTCAGTGTTGTAAAATATATGCGGATATTAAAACTTTCTATTTAAATATCAGGAATTATAGTCGCTAAAATGTGTTCCCATTTAAGGGGAATGCCGAGAATGTTGGCGCAGAAGCCCATTCGTCATGCGGACAATAAAGAGGGTTTTCACCTGACAGGGAAAATTTATGGTTGCCCTTCTTTGCCCTAATAACTCACATATTGTGTCACGGACTGACAGTCCTTGCAGAAAACAGCAAGCCTGTTATCAATCACACATCTTTGCATATTGTGAAACGTCCCTCCCCCTCATGTAGGACAAAAACAATGGAAACATTTGAGGGAATAGAGCTCAACTCCTTTACACGTTGTTCCCCCTCTTCTAAACTCACATTAAAATAAATGCGGTTCATTTATATGACGCAGTATCTCAACATTGACTTATTTAATCATTTATTCCTTGTTTTTATTGATCAGTCCATAGTTTGCAACGTAGTGCTCACCCATGCAGACTATAGGCAGGCCTGTAAACTGAAACCAAGCTTTTTTCAACTTTTACCTAAAATATTTTTTGCCAGTTTAATTTCTACATTTTTTGCCAAAGATTGTTATTTTTATCTTATGGAAAAACATAATTTGCTGTATTTGATTTATTTACCACAACTTTCATTCTACATTGTATTCATGGCAGATTATGAACTCAAATAAATTTTAACCATCACGGCTGTTTTTGTTTTGTTTGGTCTGTTTTCCACCAGGAAATATAATTTAGCCCCTTCGACTGTCCACTCCAGGTTTTCATGCTCTCCAAGTTGACCTGTCAAGCAGATTATCACAGAAAGAGATTAATGGCAAAGGCGGGTTGCAGTAATAATCGTTTTGTTTGATGTGACAACTTTGATAGGCGTTGATTTACTTACAAACTGATAGGCTTTTAATTGAGCGCCTCCATCCCGATTGAGATGAAAGGAAACCCGCATTGAAAAGCTGCCCGATTGCCCCGGAGCCTCAGTACTGATTAGGCATCTCAGCGGTGAATAGTTCAAGGCATTTTAAACTTCTTTTCTCAGCGGCCTGACAGACCATTTCTCCCCTTTTCTTTCTCCCCTGTCCGCTTCTCTTTGAGAAAAATAAATCATTTTCATTGTATGTAAATAAAATCGAGCTGACATCAATATAAAATGTCTGGATTTTCTTCTTCTTTTTTGTTCCCTGTCTTTGTTGTTCTTGTTGCAGATGACAGTGTGCCCGAGGCAGATGACAGGTTCTAAAAACACAATAGCAGATGTGTTTAGCCAAAATGGACAGGGTTCTGTTCCGTGATGTTTTACACATTATCAATTTTCAAATCAATGTTTTTTTCTTCTTCTCGCAGATTGTTTGTGCAAACCTGTCTGAAAGGGCTAAAGTTGATATAGCATAAATAATGGATATTAATTTATTCATTCCAACTATATTTTATTTAATAACGTGATCTGTTCTTTTTTGACGGGTTTCTTTTTTTTTCATTTGTTTCGGACGCTTTTCGGTTTAACTGTGTTTCCCCGTTTTCTGTTAACGCCGATTACAGCAAAAAAAAAAAAAAAGGCATTTTAACACCTTAAAGCCCTGCCAGCTGCACACAGTGAGCTGCACTGAGAGTTAACATGTCACCATGTGTGCCACCTCCGGGGTTGTTTGATGATGAACTAAAAAGTTATAGACTTTTGTGGGGGGGCAGAGAAGAATGGAAACCTAGTTTAATCCTCTGCTTTTGGACTTTGGGGGGGGGGAGGTCGGCGATTGGCGATGCGTCTAAAAATGAAATGTTAACTCGAGGATCGATTTATTTCCCCTGGAAACTTGGTGTCTTCTTGCCGAATTGTCTCTACCCATTTGTTCTTCCCCCCCGCAGTCACAGTGGCATGTAATCAGCCACAATAGCTGACATAAATCAAGCGGTGGATTGACAGCGTCTGACAAATAACTGATTGATTGCGGTGGAGCAGAATTGACACTTGACGGAGGGGTGGAGATAGAAATAGAAGGGCGGTGTATATTATACTGAAAACATGTGACAGTCACATCCCTCCATCACTACATTGGTCTATTCCTGTCAACGCTTGTCTGTTTAGGGAATTCAAGCTGAAGCGGTTGGTTTTATGTTTGCAGGTCCAGGATGAAGTCCCCGGTCCGGACGCGGTGGCGCAAACGTAGCGCGTCTCTCGGGCTACAGACCGTCAGAGAATCACAAATAACATACTTGTTAACGTATTATTATTATTATTATAACGTAGTATTCTGGTGATGATGATGTGTATTTCACCTGTAAGCCTAAACCCGAGTTAGCTTTAACAATGACTGCCAATGAAGCAGTAACAAGTCGGTTCTCTAAGCGTAGATTTTGTATTTATGAAAACGAATGTGTTATTGATGATACAGACACGAACTAGACGCAGCAAAAACACCTCTGTAAACGTGGCCTTCGTTGTCCAGATGGGTTGACCATCTATTCTGTTACTTACTCACTTTTCTGTGTCCCGGTCGCCCCGCGTCTAAACAAAGAAATAATCCGCGCGAGCGTTCACGCGAACCACAGTATATAAAACCTCATCTCCTCCCCCGAGCTGTCGAAACACAGGCGCTTACAAAGAGGAGAACGTCACATCCCCTTGACCCTCCAATCACCTCGGGGTCCCATTTGATTGGAAGGCGGCAACGGCTTTAATCTCGGACTAATTCAGCTGCTTTTGAAAAGTGAACATTTTCTACTAGTTCGCACTTGAGGGAGTAGGGAGCGAGGACCTGCGAGAGACAGACGCACTCAAGGCGCGACGCTCATGGTGCAGGACACAGCCACGGATCCGCGATAAACTCGCACGGTCTCCATCCAGCTGCCGCGCCTTCGCCCCTTTTACCCGGATTACCCGTTATCGAACAGTTTCACCATTCTTTCCTTTTCTGTTCACCTGACCAACCCAGAGAAAGAGAGAGAGAGAGAGAAACAGAGGGAGAGAGGGGGAGTCTGAATGTGCGTTTTGGTTTTCTTAATGAATCCAAGAAAAACATCGCCGTTTCATTTCCTGACAATTGGGACATGATCACGTCCCCCTCGGCGTCTATCCTGAAGAATAGTGGCATTCGCGCAGCAGTCTGGGAGAGCGGCAGTTCTCGGAATAGCAGCTCGGCGAGCGTCAACAAGCCTTTTCTCCACCCCGCGCCCCCGTGCGATCCGCTACGGCAAGCGAGCCGACTCCCCATCAAGGTTCTGAAAATGCTCACCGCCCGGTCAGGACACATTTTGCACCCGGAGTATCTGCAGCCTTTGCCTTCTACCCCGATCAGCCCCATCGAGGTAAGAGAGAAAGGTGGTTTTTCTTCTTTCGGCGCGTAATGTTTAGTTTAGGTGCGTCGCGTGACAATCTCCTGCAAGCCCGTTTCGGTTATAATGCAATCATCCCCCGACCGGCTGTTGTTTTTGGTGTTAAACTGTTGTGTGCGGTGTTAAGTTCGTAATAATAAGCAACACGATCGTAGTTCGGTGCGCGGAGGAGCCTTGCGTAACGGCATTACGCGTCTGTTTGGAAATGCGAATATAGATCCTCTTTTTTTAAATATATATTGTTATTATAAAAACAAAGCCATAAATGTGCATTGGAGCAGTATCGATCAACACCTCTGTCCTTTTTTTATTCAAATTGCAGCTCGATGCTAAGAAAAGTCCGCTGGCTCTTCTGGCGCAGACGTGCTCTCAGATCGGCAAACCGGACCCGCCGCCTTCCTCCAAACTGTCCTCCGTGACGTCCAATGGATCTAGCGAGAAGGAATCTAAATCCGGCCCTCTGAAAATGAGCGACATCGGCGTGGACGACAAGTCCAGCTTCAAGCCGTACTCCAAGCCTTCGGACAAGAAGGACTCGTCCTCGGGCGTCTCGGGCGCAGAGAAGTCTGGTTTCCGAGTGCCGAGCGCCACCTGCCAGCCGTTCACGCCGCGCACGGGCAGCCCCAACTCCAGCACCTCCGCGTCCCCGATGCCCTCCGAGGGGAAGTGCGGGGAGAGGGACGAAAAGAAAGACTCCGACTGTAATAAAAACGGCGCCGGGGACGGGTCCGGCACCACTAGCCACAGCAGGATAAGCGTGAGTTGTGGTGGAATTAACGTGGAGGTCAACCAACACCAGGAGACGACGCCTGGCTGTAAAACCTCCTCCTCGGACTCCGCGTCTGTAACTTCCGTGTCCTCCGCGTCCGTGCTCGGCTCGGGACTCGTGGCGCCGGTTTCTCCGTACAAACCGGGGCAGACCGTTTTCCCGCTGCCGCCGGCCGGTATGTCCTACCCGGGTAGCCTGGCCGGGGCCTACGCGGGTTACCCGCAGCACTTCCTATCCCACGGAGGGGGCCTGGTCAGCTCGCTGGGCTGCAGCAAGGCCGGATCCAGCCCGCTGGCGGGGGCTTCTCCGCCCTCCATCATGTCGGCGAGCCTCTGCAGAGACCCTTACTGCCTCAGTTACCACTGTGCCAGCCACTTGGCGGGCGCGGCCAGCGCCTCCTGCACGCACGAGTCCGCGGCCGCCGCCGCCGCGAACGCCCTCAAGTCCAGCTACCCGCTGATGTACCCGACGCACCACATCCACGGCGTGCACTCCTCGGCGCCGTCATTTAGCGGGCACCCGCTGTACCCGTACGGGTTCATGCTCCCCAATGACCCCCTGCCCCACGTTTGCAATTGGGTGTCGGCGAACGGACCGTGCGACAAGCGCTTCTCCTCGTCAGAAGAGCTCCTGAATCACCTGAGGACTCACACGGCGTTCACCGGGGCGGAGAAATTGATTTCCGGTTACCCGGGGTCCTCGTCTCTGGCCAGCGCCGCAGCGGCGGCCATGGCCTGCCACATGCACATGCCACCGTCAGGTGGCCCCGGGAGCCCCGGGGCTTTGGCCCTGAGGAGCCCGCATCACGCGTTAGGACTCAGCAGCCGCTACCACCCGTACTCCAAAAGCCCCCTGCAGAGCCCCGGGGGCCCGGTGCCCATGCCGGCCGCCACCGGCCCTTATTACTCCCCGTATGCGCTGTATGGCCAGAGACTCACCACAGCGTCAGCGCTTGGATACCAGTGAGGAGCAGAATGGACTTGGAAGAGTTTATAGTTCTAAGAATGCAAATATTAAAAAAAAAAATAAAAAAAACTTTTATATTAACAGCGCTAAACGTATGGGCGGGATCCGTGGACTTCAACTGTATTTATTTATATGTCGGCTTAAAAACAGGCGATAATAGCTGCAAATGAAAATATTTGAACAACTCGAAAAGTGCATTATGTTGAAACTGAACTCTATAGGAAAAATGGAAACACACACATGTTAGAGTACTAATTAAAGTAGGGATCTTCATTTTGATGTTAATTTGAATTTGCTGATTGTATTTGTTCTTATTTAATGCCTCATTGAGAAGGAAATAATTTACATGCATGTTTGTTTCTTAAATTTCTGAAATTGTCCACATTCAGATTGCCGTTATTTTTCAGGTGTACACCTTGGAAAGAGAATTGGTATTTTTTTGTATGTATTCTGGAAAAAAAATAAGAAACAATTCTGTTCCATATCTCCGTGTGCCTCATTTTCTGAAGTATTATTCAGTGTCAATACTAGTTGAGTTTATATTCCACCTTCAGTCTATAAAATCGGTTTTATAAGTGAATGGGTTTAAAAGCGTCATTGATCATTTCCGGCAGCATGGCCTATATATTTTACTGTCAATTTATTGCAATCTCATCAAATGTCATTTTGACAAATTGCTAAAATCGTCTTCATCTTTCTTTCTCTCAATTATACTAGTTTGTATGCTACGTATTTGAAAAGCTTTAAAGGTTTACTTTGATCAGAGCACGTGTTAAAAACTTAAATTAAATGCAACTTGAACGAGAGAGGAACTGTGTGCGTGTGTGCGTGTGTGCGTGTGTGTGTGTGTGTGTGTGTGTGTGTGTGTGTGTGTGTGAGCGGGACTGTGTGCGTGTACACAGGGTGAATCGGGCTGAGATCATTTAGTTTACTGGTGGGTGAAGTTTGTCAATATGTTTTATTTGAAAAAGAAAAGTTGGACCATGACGGATTTTTCGGTGGTTTATTCGCATTGCTGCGTTTTAAATTGCTAAGTTCAAAATATAGATAAAACGTTTTATAACCTTAACGCAAAGACGGACGTTGACTTGAATCATTTTCTGCCTTTCAGGTTTAATGCAATAGACATTTTACAAGCATCGTCACACAGTGACATTTAAATTCGGCTGAAGCGAAGTGAACCTCTTGTTCTCCCACGAAGTTATTTCGACTTGGAGGCCATTTGTTTTTTCCTCTTCTTAAATATTTTAAACAGGTGTAGGTTATTTTCAATCATCTGGATGTCATCGTTTAATTTGCATTTGATAATCTCATCCACCTGTAAATCTTAATGTACACAGCAATACATTTGTCATTAAAAATGATTGTGCAAAGTTGTGGGATTTTCATGAAGGAACAAACACTCTCGGTTTGACTTTGCAAAAAACGCCCATACATTGATATATTTAAATAACAAAACGTATCCCACATGAACTACAACTGTTTATAATAAGTTTATTTTTTCTCGAGTGACAATGCACGTATTGTTACATATTTATTTCTCTAATATTAATAAGCAAACCCATCTTTATATTTGAACACATTAATTGTCTCTGAATATATATATTTAAAAAACTGCATGAAAACTGCATTCACACAGACACATAAATTACCCGTAATGTTTGACTTTAGACATTTATGGCATTGCGATACAAAACGGGTTCATTTAATTTCACATTATATATATATATAAATATATCCTCCTTCTTATATACTTGCGATGGTTGACTGTAAACAACCTTCATTCAGTGTTTCCGTTGTTTGGGGCGCGCCGTTGATCCCGCGGTGTTACTTATTATTTATTTAGAATACGTCGCTGTCCCTCGTCCGTCGCGCATCGCTTATTCAGATGAAACAAACTCCTCGCGGACTGAATGAGGCCCACACGCGCCCTAAACTGATGTAATGACGGTGAAAGGAAGCAATTTCCATCTCTACCCACATCATGGTGGCTGTGCTCGGAGGGTCCCGGTGGAGAGCAATTTATCATGTGCCCCTCCTCCTGGCCTTGTCACTGGAGGAACAGGCAGGCACATGTGTGCATGAATTACCCACCCTCCCACCTTCCCGCTCCAGCCTCCCTCCCTCCCTCCTGGTGGAGATTTGACACAGAGGGGAGAGAGAGAGAGCGAGAACATGGGGTTATTAGAGTCTGCAAGAGTATTAAAGTGCATATTCACCGTGTCCATCAAGACCTAAAAGTGCTGAGATGTGCACGCATCAAACCACAGCACATTGGGATCATTTAGAGATTATTTCTTATTATATGTAAATGATTCAATCCATTCTATAAAATTGAAATGACGTGGATTTTGGGGGATCGTTACATTGTTGGAGCCACAAACCGAGAACAGAGTTCTGGTTCAGGCCAGAATCGAAGAACTGTGAACACTCTGCCATGGACAAGTCATTCAGAAAGTTGACTGTATAACTTTTAAGGTTTAGGGAATGTGAAGGCAGGTGATTATAATAAAGACATTGGATTACATCTTTCCTTGAGATTGTAAAGACACGTTTTCATGCCTTAATGAAAACGGCTGCTCATTCCACTGCTCAGAGTCAAGTCCCCCTGCCTGTTTGCCTGTTTGCCCCATCGAGGATCCCAAAAAATGCACACCCATGTCAGCTGCAATCCAACGTGACAATACTCAATTTTCACCTAAAAGTCTAACAAGTCTACACCAAGAAACTCTGCATCTTGTGCTGTGACCCAACGCAGCCATTTTAGATTCTTTGGAGATACTTGTACCCTAAGAGAGCGAGAGAGACATGCAGGAAACCTGGCAGGACATCTTGGAAACGAGGGGGGGTGTTGGGGGACGTGACTCAGACACACACACACACACACACACACACGCACACACACACACACACACACACACACACACACACACACACACACACACACATCTAACCCCATATTCAACGCTATACTGAATTACCACCACTGAAGGTTGTCATTAATGGGTGTGGCAGGATATAAAGACACACCGTCGTCTGCAGCGGCGAGTCCATAGTTTGTGTAACAGCTGTGTCAATGAGGGGAAGCCACTGGTGTTCCTCCCCATGCCAGACATAATTCATTGAGCGATTATTATCTTTTATGAATGTGCGGCTGATTTTTATCAAGCTGCGATTACAATATAAAAGCTCTCAGTGATGGGACCCATCAATAATGCCTTTGTTTGCACCATTTACTTTACAGCCACTTGATACTCCTTACTTGCAGTTATGTTTTACAAGTATAGACTGTTCCTTCTCAAATACATTTTGATTACTAATCCACTTACGCACCCCAGAGGATGGTCTTTGTTGCCATCCCAGCCTTCCTGCGTAAATACCACTGTACATTACATGCGTGCGTCAACCACGCCTTTGCTCTCCAATTGCAGTAAAAGGCGTCATCTTATCTGGAACACCGACTGTCATTATCTCAGCGTGTGATTTATGGTGCTACGGTAGCTGGAGGTGTCCACGGCTTTTGTGATTGAGGTAATGAAGCCATAAAGCGAGCTGCGCGAAACAAAGCAGGGACTCCGTGGTCGTAACCAGATCCTCTTCTTTAAGCAAAGCCGTTCTAAATCTGGCCATTATCCAGGAGACGAAGAAGAGGAAATCAACACTGTTGTTGGCCATGTGCATCAATGCGAAAGCACCCTTTTCTGACAGATTTATCCGGGAATGTGGTCTCCGACTGAGCTGTAATGGAGGTAATTTGGTTCCGAGGCGGACAGGAATACCCTCCCCGCTCTTCTAGCGTGTGGTTACCCTCCTCACTCATTTACAAATGTAAAGTGCTCATCCAGGTGATGCGAGAGAAGTGGCGGTGTTGATCTATCTGTGCCACTCAGATCTGGAACCAGCGAGGCACTTTGTTGTGCTTAGACAGCCTAAATGAGGTCATTTCTGTCTGCTTTGGGATCACCGGTGTGCGCCGGGGTGTTTTAGTGCTCAGATAATTTGCCCATTTTTGAATTCTGACAAAGAATATTTTATGGAAATGCCCCCTCATTCCAGGCACCTTAATGGAGTACGTTGGAGAACTACGCCAGCTGATGAGGTTGTTGTCCGTCACATGTAAATGTGAAAAGGAGAGAAAATGTCAGGGATGAGCTGAACTGCAAAAGGCTTTTTGCCTTTATTTGAAATCAGCATTACCCAAGCGGTCTATCTGGCACACAATCACATGCTTGTTCTAATTGTTTGAAGCTGCGCGAATACAATACAAGACATTGTGCAGCTCGTGTCTTTGTGTAGCCACACAGTGGTTTATCAAAGACTGAGGCATCGCACTTCATGTTAGGAAAAGGCATTGCCTTTCGGAGTGTTTTTGACCAGTCGAGGTTTCAGTGTTCCGCATAATTGCCGTCTTCTGGCGTCCTCTCCCTTCTGCGAGCGAATCCTCATCTCATGTCGGCGGCCTTACATGACAGTGCGAGTCCATGATGTCATTCCCATGGGTGTGGGCCACCAACGACAATGACTCACGTGCTTACTCACTACATAAACCTTGTTTTTTAATAAGCTTCGGTTTGAGATTTCTTCCAGGGAAAATCTACAACATACGCTTGTGGAAAAAAAACATTTTCTAAATAAAGTGATGACATTGCAGACTTGAAGGTTCTTATTGGTTTCCATTGAAGATATACCACGTACACGGTGGGTCGAATAAGTAACTTGTTGTTAAATAGTTAAATGTACATCCATGATTGGTGCTAGGAAAGGTCAAACCTTAAGCACCATTTTCATTCTGTTTAGATGTTAACATTTATTTTTTAAGGGAATGCTAATAATGCAAAACACTAACTGAAAATCATTTTATTATATGAAATATATTATGACCGCGTAGTAGAAAATAAATGAATCTACAACACATGCAATGGAGTAAACTCGGTTTGGAGTTAAATATTGCACTTGCTTAAATGACAAAAAACATTACCATCAGGAAATGAAATAATGCAAATCATTATGAAAGATAGGGCTGTATGGGACAATACATAATTAATAATAAATAAATAACACTGACCTGGTTGCAAGTAGGGTGGGAAATAAGTGGCTGTGCACCGCTGCGTGTGTGTTGAAGGTCAGAGGATATCATATATTGAAATTGACAAAGTTGACCTGGCATCACAGGGCAGGACTCGTCATTCACCGCCTCAGTAAAAATCACACGAAAAACACAAGCCCGAAGCGGTTTCATTCACATCTGAAAATATTTGCATACTGGGTTAATAGAGGACAAAAGAAAAAAAGTTACTCTGTGCAGTTGTCATTGCAAAGAAATGCAGATTTGTTCAGTTTGAATGCAACATAATTTCTCCCCAAACACAAAATCACATAACAAGGCTGAAGGGAAAATAGTCACTTATGATTATTGCTCCCTGCACATGCTGTATAGCCACAGCATGTGCAGACTTCGAAGAAGGGGCGTGACTATCTGGCTCCACAATCTTTCTCCACAGGTGCAGTTGTTGCTTGACCCACCTACGCATTAAGACTAATAGTTGGATGCAGCGAGGTCAGGCCCATTCTAGAAGGGATCTTAAAAGAAAACCACAAACGTAAGTGGGCGTAGAGTTGAGAGTCGAGTTCAAAGAAAGTGGATACAAGCAAAAGTTACACTTTAAGGCTTCATCCTATTTTTGGCAGTTGTACTCATGGGGGTTTGGCTGATGTGGGCATTGATTATCGGTGCCGTGGGTTGGCTGAAGTGTCTGCGGCGACATACTAAGGTCAGCATATTTCACCAGCAAATGCCACCTTCTCTGCACAGCAAACACGAGTGTTATCAGGAGACGTATTCGTCATTTTAAAAATACGACTGCACTTAACAAAAGAACATGATTATAACGTTAAAAGCTTCTCCTATCAAGCGAGTTCTGTATTAAAGGGTAGCAGGTTTTTTTTAAATGAAATACTGTCAAGGAGTATATACACACAGTTGGCTTTGTGTTTGCCTTCATCGCGCGCCTTCGTGTTTGCCTGGAGAAACAGAACCTGTAAAGAACCATATGGAAGCATTAACATTTCCCTGTATAAAAGCGGAACCCCATAGGACCATTATCCAATTTAAGGAACCAATGAATACCAAGAACCTTCTGTATACACTCCACTGTGATTTTCTCCAGAGTATCCCGGTTGGAGCCAAGTGTGAAAAACAGCAATATATAACACTTATGTGATTTATGAGGGCTATATTTATCACATTGATATAAACTATTCAACTATTACCAGCCTCCACATTACTCCAGCAATTCATTCATGTCAGTGGACCAAAACAATTCCCTCCACTGCAGCCCACCAACCCCACACCAAACTGCTTCTCTCTGTCTGT